AAGAGCTTCACAGACAAGAAAAAGTTAAAGAAATTAATCACCACCAAACCAGTATTAATTACATGAAATGTTGAAGGGAGGAGGAAGAGAGGAAGAAGAGAAGGAGGAGGAAGAAAAGATTAAAAATATGAAAAATAAAATGGCAATAAATAGTAGCTATCAACAATTGAATCTGAAAATCAAATTAAATAAATAATCTAATGAACAAAATAAATTGATTAATAAAATAGAATAAAATGGAAACATGGAACAGGCTGATGAATTTCAGAGAGAAGGTGGGGCAGGGGGAGTTTAAGCAAAGAACTTATATTGCATATTTACATTACCTATGGTCAAACAATAGGGTAATGAAGGCATGGGAAGGATCGGGAACTGGGTAGAAGGGCACAATGAGTAGAAAAAATGGAGACATCTGTAACACTCTCAACAATAAAGATTTTAAATGAATAAAAATAAATATTTAAAGCACATTTTTTATAACACATGCACACTCTCACACACACCAAACTACACTACAAACATGTCTACTTAATAATTCCTAGTTATCCTTTAAAACTCAACTCCTCTGAATTTTTGCTTGCCTTGTTTAAGAGAATTGGAAACTCACACCTTCCACAGAACGTTGTACTTATCTCCACTATAGATAGTACCTACAATATCTGTCCTAATGTTTTGTAATTATTTGTTTATATGTCTGTCTCCCCTATCAAACTATGAATTCCTTAAGAAAAATGCTCCAAGACAATATTCAGAAATATACCTTTAAATCAATGGACTAAGCAGGTTATATTTTTAAAAATATATATATATAGTATATTTTTCATGCCTGCAAGTAACTCTCAAATGGCTTGTCAAATAGATGCTATGAACATACACATGCTTAAAGAAAAGGAAGATGCAAATATATAAAAATGTTAACAATTAGTGAAGGTAGGTAAAGAGTACATGCAAATGTGTTCACTTTACTCTTCCTACAACTTTTCTATACATTAAAAATTTTAAATATAAAAATTCAGAGTTAAATATAAACATTTTGTTCCATTTTATTTTTTATATCTATCACAGGACCTGGCACATGACAATTACACAAAATTTTCTACTTCAAAATGGGGGGAAAAAAACACACAGACCATAAGTAATCTAGAAATCCCAAGAAAGTAGTCCTGAAAAAGAAATTATCACTGAGTATTCTGTGAGGACAGGAGTTACAAAAAAATAGGATTGGAGCTGAGCTTTGAAAGGTGTGTATTAGTTCAGATTAGAAGGGAACATGCATTACAAATGGAAAAAGTTCATTAAAAAAATTTGGTGGCCTCCATGTAGGAAAATTTTTAAAAAGACTCAATCAATCTGAAGTCATTAAACTGAGGTTGTATTCATACCACCACTAAATTCCAACCTGCTTCATTCCCTTCACTTATAAATTTGGGAAAATAATACATAATTTACCGGTTGTTGTGAGAACAAAATGCTAGTAATTATGGGGAAGTATGTAGTACAATGAAATGTATTTACACAAATGTCAGGTATTTTTATTAAGGAATTGTTGAAGTAATAAAGAAACTAATCTGGTTGGAACTGAGGGTATAACGCATGTTACCAGTATCCTACCTAATAAAAGAGTAATGTGCAAATTACTCACAAGCCATGCCCACCAGCCACACTGACCAGCCAATCAGAGTGAGTATGCAAATTAACCTCAACCAAGATAGCTGCAGCCACAGAGAACAGTTGAGAGGCTTGGGTTTCCCCAGCAATGGAAGCCTAGTTTTCCACACACTCTGGCCGGCCAAGGCTTCCACTCAAGGATACAAAGTTTCAATTATAGAAGATAAATCCCAAGAAAAATGGCTGCAGCCACAGAGATGGAGAGAACAGGCTAGGGTTGCCCCCAGCAATGGAGGAAGCCAAGCTTTCCATCTGCCTTGGCCAGTCTTGGTCTCCACTCAAGGCTACAAAGTTTCAATTGTAGAAGGTAAATAAATTCCAGATACCAGAGCCTCCGTGTGGGTTGCCAGTGGGGGGCATGGCTGGCCTGCCAACCACCTCACTCAGGCCGCCCCATGCCCTAAGGGAATCCCCTCCCTGATCCAGTACACCCTTCAGGGCAAACCAGATGGCCCCCACGTGTGCACCAGGCCTCTATCATATCTCATAAAAGAGTAATATGCAGATTAACCATCACTCCAACATACAAGCTTGCTACCCCCATGTGGTCAAAGATCTTGCCCCTATGTGGACACAAGATGGCCACCACAAGATGGCCAGCAGGGAAGGGCAGTTGGGAGGGACCAGGCCTGCAAGGGAGGGCAGTTGAGAGGGATCAAGTCTGCAAGAGAGGGCAGTTGGAGGCAATCAACCCTGCAAGAGAGGACAGTTAGGGATGACCAGGATGGCAGAGGAGGGAAGTTGGTGGCATACAGGCTGGCAGGAGAGCAATTAGACATCAATCAGGCTGGCATGGGAGTGGTTAGGGGGTGATTAGGCTGGCAGGCAGAAGTGATTAGGGGCAATCAGGCAGGCAGGCAGGCAAGTAGTTGGGAGCCATGAGTCCTGGATTGTGAGAGGGATGTCCTACTGCAACATCCCTCGAGGGGTCCCAGATTGGAAAGGGTACAGGTTGGGCTGAGGGACACCCCAACCCCATCCTGTGCAAGAATTTCATGCACCGGGCATCTAGTGGCATAAAATTGGCTAGGACTAAACTCTAGAGTTTTGCCTATCAATTCAAAACATTTAGATTTTACTTGATGGGAAATGAGAGCCACAGAAAGATTGTTGAGAGTGGAAATAATATATTTTAAGTGTTTTTCACAACGGTGTTAATTGATCAAGGTTTAGACTAGAGTTGATGCAGAAGGGACAAGAAAGGAGGGGATGGATTCAATAAAAATCATAAGAATCAACAGACTTTGGTCTGCATGTATCAAAAGTCAAAGGGGGGTCAGTCAAAAATCACCCTAATGACAGCATTTTTTAACACTGTTTTATAGAACGCAAGTCTAGGAAATTCTTAAAGGCCGTAAAATCCATTCCTATCTTAGATTCCAAATGCACTTTACTATGCATTAGCATGTCAAAGGCTCTGAGAAATTATGGAGTAAAGAAATCTGCCATTTAACATAGCCCCAAACTTAATTGACCTAGTGTTCCTTGGAACACACTATGGAAAATGCTCTAAGTAATGTTGTCCAGGTGACCAGTACACTGAAGACACAATAAGAGAAAATACAATGCTTAGAGAGTTGCTGTTGTTTGATAGTCCATTTTGTTTGTTGAAGGCATTTCAGACATAAAGAGTTTGAGAAGCTACAGAATATGCAGGGTCAACTGATCAGAAGACTAATGAAAATCAGGGTTTCACATTAAAGTGGGGTCAGAGTTAAAAAGATGAAACTTTGGAAGTCATTCTCATCAAGAGTAACAAATGCCTACTATTATGGAGGATAAAACAATGAAACTTCCCTATTGTCAAGAATTACAACCCAGAACATGTTGGTGCCCTTAATCTCAATATCCTATACTAGAGGCCTGATGCACGAAGATTTGTGCAAGAATGGGCCTTCCTTCCCTTTACTGCCAACACTGCCTTCACTCTAGCTGGAGCCACCTTTTTGCTCTGGCCCGGAGCCACCTTTCTGCCTTCCCATGATGTCCAGAGGCCCAGAGTGGCTGGGATGGTGTGGAACACCTGCATCATCACCATGGTGAAGGTGCAAGCATCCCACCCCGCCCCCAGCTGCTCAGCGCCTGTGTATGCAAATTAACTCACCATTTTTGTTGGGTTAATTTGCATACTCATTCCTGATTGGCTGGTGGGTGTCTCGAAGGTATAGTCAATTAGCATATTACTCTTGTATTCATATAGATAATAAAAGGGTAATATGCAAATCAACCGAATAGTGGAACAGCTGGTCGCTATGATGCACACTGACCACCAGGGGACAGACACTCCCATTGGGGGGGGGGGTGCGAAGCCGTTTAGCCACAAGCTGGGCTGACAGCTAATGAGTGCAACCAACTGCCCACCTCCATAGCAGTGCTAAGGATGTCTGACTTTGGCCATCAATCACACTTCCCCTGAAGGCTCCCTGTACTGCAAAAGGGTGCAAGCTGGGCTGAGGGACACCCCCCCCACACACACACACACACACAGTGCATGAATTATGCACCAGACCTCTAGTTCTGATCTATGGGAAACTAAAGCTTAGTTGCCTACATCTGAAAGACATCACTTGAGAAAATGGCTGGTATAGAGAGAATCTTACCCACTTTGGAAAAGAATTCACATGCAACTTACAACTGACAGCAGACTATCTTAACATTAAGATTCCTATTAGCCCAGAATATTGTTTTTTTGGCCATTCAAAAGGATAAAGCACCCTCTGTTTAAACAATTTTATAAAGGATGCTTTTTCATTGAGGGAAGGGCCTTAAAGGTTGGCTTAAAGGAATCTGTTGACTGGTGACTTTGCCAGGGAAAGGGGGCATAGCTCTGAAACAGTGGTCATAAGTATAAAAGTCAACAAATAAACAGTCTTTACTTGTATCCAGTTGGTAAGGTCTGAAAATTTGTCAGTGACTCTCCAACAAATATCACTATCATTTTAAAAAATGAAGTAAAATGGTATATACCTGCCACGAAACATTCTTCTCAATTAGAATAAATATGCTGGAGACTGTGAAAGACATTTACTTAGAAAAAGGAGATACTTTTTAGCACAGGCACAACAGTATTTTCCACTGCAACAGAACAGACTGTACCCACTTCCCCTGAATCAGCAAGTTTCAAGTTTCCACTTCAAAAATATTCAGTACAATACAGGAAAGAGTTTTGAAATGTAATTTTAGGAAGATGAAAAAAAAAAAGGGGGAGGGGGAGAAAGGCAAAATACAGTTCTATTATTCCTGTGGGCTAGGCTACATGTTTCTTTCAATCCCCCCTATCCTACTTACATACCACACAGCCCCAGATCTTTTTATATTTTTATTTTGCATACCTGCTCCAGTTCATAGGCCTTTGCCTTATCTTCATCCCGATCTGCATTCTTCCGATAGGCCAGGCCCAAGCCCCACACAGCCAAGATGCTGTACACATTATCCCGGACCCAAGCATCTTTCTGATCATAGCTGGCTGGAAGCAAGCCAGTCACTGGATTCTACAAAGCCAAGAAAAAGAGGACAGGCAGGTATCCATGGGATGTTAATATTAGGAAACAATATCAAATGGCATATTTAGGAACTTTGATCTAATTTCTACTTCCCTACTCCTGAGTATTATACCCTCCTTTTTTCTGACCAAGTACAAACAAATGTTCTCTTAAATAGGGGAAGAGCTGTTTGAAAACTTACAAGTCTGAAATGTGGGTAAAAAAAGTCAGTGTTTTAACTTTCCAGTTAGAATGAGCTACCAAACAATAAACCAGCATTAAAGAAGTATTAAAAACATAATTAACAGTATATACAAAGTACTTCAGATCTTCACAATAGTCTAGCCTTAAAATGACTAAATCTTTCCCTGATTTCTTTGACAGGAGGGGAAGAGTGACATACACACACACACACACACACACACACACACACACACGTTCACCAAAGGTCTCCATCCAAGCTCTCAGGCTGCACACATCTTCAGTGATTACAGGCAACACTTAACTTACCTGATGGCACAGGATGGTCTGATGCACCAGCCTAGCGTAGCCGTCCAGCCGAACCCCCGAGTTACTCCGGCTCCTCATCTTGCTACGTCTCCAATCCCCTCAGTGAAACCGTCCTGGGTACCGGGTGCCCGCTGCCAGGTGCCAGGTGCCAGGTGCTGCAGGGGCCTTCGGTCCACCAAGGAAGGAGGCTCCAAAGCAGCTGCACCCTCCCTGTGGGAAGGCGAGTATCAGGTTCCTGCAGAGCCGTCCCAACGCTCAGGCCTGGGCCAGCTGTCTGGGCCACGGAGGTCTCTGGAGCCCACCACACGCCCTCCCCCGCAGCCTCCTGCAGTCTGGGGCCCTAGTGCTGTCCTCTCCCAACCTTACGCCAGTCGGGCCTCCACGAGAGACTGCCCTGGCCTACAGCACACACACACATAGACACAGCGTCCAGCACCGCCTCCACTAGCTGGAGCCGCCAGCGGGAGGCGGGGCGGGCTCCTGGGGTCCTGGCAGCTGCGAGCTGTGCCCTCTGGGCTTGCGCGCCTGCCCCGCCCGCGTGGTCCCCTGCACACAAGCACGCCCAACCTGCAGCAGAGTATGTGTCAAGGTAAGCAATGTGATTTCAGAGGTTTATTTTTGATACTTAGAGTATTTCAGTTTTCCCCACTTGCTGTGTAGTCAGGATGTTGAGGCGGCTGTTTCTTTTTGTTTTGTGGGGTGTGTGTTTTTTTTTCTACTAAACTATTTTCAGGAGCCCACGGTGACTTCAAACCTAAGAAGAAAACCGCACGTTTGCATTCAAGGCCTAAAGAATTGAAATCTCCAGAATGGTAATTTTTGGGTCTTTAATGTATTTTATACTCCTGACTAAAAGCTTAGATTAAATTCCTCATTCCGACCCAAACCAAACACGGAAGAACTCCCTCGGGTACTTTATTTTCTTTTTCTTTTTTCTTTTCTTCTTCTTCTTCTTTTTTTTTTTTTTTTTTTTTTTTTTTTGGCAAAGAAATGTGTTTATTATCTGCTGCTTCTGACTAGCGAATCTGTGGGCCTGGGAAGGCGGGCGCAGCGGTGAGCTTTGAGGAAGCCAGTGACTCCGGGAACCTGGGCTGGGCTGGGGTGGGGAGCGGTGCCTCACGATGACCTTGAATGAAAGAGATTTTTATAACTGATTTGGAAGTTTACCTCGTGTACACGTAAGTCACATGGGCCAGGCAACAGAATCAGGTGAAAATAAAGGGGTGGGGGAGTAGACAGAGTCTCAGCCTCGCCACCGCTGCTGCCCAGAGACTGCTGATACCCTGTCCATCCATCCGTCCATCCACCCGCCGCCACCCACTCTGGCCACAGAAAATCCAGTCATGGATAAAAATGGCCGGGCAGGCTGAGCGATATGATGATGACATGGCAGCCAGCGTGAAGTCTGTAACTTAGCAAGGAGTTGAATTATCCAATGAGGATAGAAATCTTCTCTCAGTTGCCTATAAAAATGTTGTAGGAGCCCTAGGACATCGTGGAGGGTCGTCTCAAGTATTGAGCAAAAGACAGGTGTTGAGGAAAAACAGCAGATGGCTCGAGAATACAGAGAAAAAAATTGAGGTTGCTGCTGGGGATGACAAGAAAGGGATTGTGGACCAATCACAACAAGCATACCAAGAAGTTTGGAAATCAGCAAAAAGGAAATGCAACCAACACATCCTATCAGATTAGGTCTGTCCCTTAACTTCTCTGTGTTCTTTTATGAGATTCTGAACTCCCCAGAGAAAGCCTGCTCTCTTGCAAAGACAGTTTTTGATGAAGCCATTGCTGAACTTGATACATTAAGTGAAGAGTTATACAAAGACAGCACACTAATAATGCAGTTACTGAGCGACAACTTGATATTGCGGACATCGGATACCCAAGGAGATGAAGCTGAAGCACGAGATGGAGGAGAAAATTAACCGGCCTTCAAATTTTTGTCTGCTTCATTCTAAAATTTACACAGTAGGCCATTTGTCATTCATGCTATCCCACAAATAGTTTTTTGTTTACAATTTATGACAGGATTATGTTACTTCTATTTGAATTTCTATATTTCCCATGTGATTTTTATGTTTAATATTTGGGGAGTAGAGCCAGTTAACATTTAGGGAGTTATGTTTTCATCTTGAGGTGGCCAATATGGAGATGTAGAATTTTTATATGAGTTATAAATGTTTGGTATAGTACTTTTGGTACATTGTGGTTTCACCGGGCCAGTGTTAAAATTGCTTCCATGTCTAAGTGAAAAAAAAACCCTGTCTATATATTGGTTTATCCTGGGGGGAATAAAAGGGATAATTGGTTCCAGTCACAGATGTAGTTGTTGTGGGTACTTTAAGTTTTGGAGCACTTAGAGTGCTGTGTTAGAAGTGGATATCCCAATGGGTAGTCCATGTGTGTATCTGTGGAATACTCAGTCCCAGTACGCACACCTTCGACTACAGCTGCAGAGTGTTCCTTTAGTTGTGACCCAATTCACTCTGAATAAGGGCAGAAATGGTACACATACCATTATTTGTAAAGTTGCCTGCTGTTTGCTTTCATTATTTTTGCTTCGTTCATTTTATTTGTATTTAAATGTTTTAGGCAACCCAAAAACAAATGTACAAGTAAAGATGCAGTAAAATGAAATGTTTAGTATCCATTACTTCATATATATCAAGCATAGCAGTAAAACAAACAAAAAAAAACACACATGTATTTAACTTCTTTACATTGTTGTTTTTTGTGTTGTTGTTGTTGTTGTTTTGCTTTTGTGATTTTTTTTTATACTTGCCTAACATGCATGTGCTATAAAAAACAGTTAACAGGGAAATAACTTGAGATGATGACTAGCTTTGTTTAATGTCTTATCAAATTTTCATGAACAATCTAAGCATAATTGTTAAGAACACGTGTATTAAGTTCATGTAAGTGGAATAAAAGTTTTATGAATGGACTTTTCAACTACTTTTCTACTGCTTTTCATGTAAATTAGTCTTTTGGTTTTGAAATTTTCTCTAAAGGAAATTATACATTTTTGGAAATGTATTCCTTATTCCCTCTTGGCAGCTAATGGGCTTTTACCACGTTTCAATACAAAGTTTATCATGACAAAATACTACTAACAGAACTACTGTTCCCAACCACATCCCACACTCCCCATCCTCCCAGCCCCCAAACTCCCTAAAAAAAAGGGTGTTGTGTTTATTTGTTTGTTTGTTTTTAGAGGTGTGAGGATTGATTGGAAACAATAATATGTTCCATTTAAAATTTTAGTATATGGCATTTTCTAACTTGGAAGCCACAATGTTCTTGGCCCATCATGACATTGGATAGCATTAACTGTAAGTTTTGTGCTTCCCAATTGCTTTTGTTTTTAAGAATTTCTTGATACTCTTATAGCATGCCTTCAACTTTGATCCTTTATTCTTTCCATTTGTTAGGTGCACACAGGATTATCTTTTTCAGCCTTCTGTCACCAACCATTATTACTTGGTGGCCATGTACTTGGAAAAAAAAGCCTCATGATCTTTCTGGCTTCACCCAATGTCTAAGGATCTTCACCTACTTCCTTTGCTTGCATCCCATCAACTATTCCCCTCATCATATTTGCTGCAGCAAAAGTCTCCTTGTTTTATCTCCCTGTGAAACTTTACCTATGAATGGTCTGACATTGGCTGCCTTTCAAACTGTTCTTTCTCTTTTCTTTAAATAATGGGGCTAAATTATACCCAAAGTTCGCCCTACATACTATTTCCTAAGTACCTTTCAAAAACACCAAATAAAAATACCATTTTAAAAGATGTGTGTTTTTTTCTTTTAGAATGTAAGCTCCTCAAGAGCAGGCACAATGTTTTCTTATATGTTCTACTATGCCTAGTACACTGTAAATGCTCAGTAAATATTGGTGATGGGGGAAAAGTAAAGGGAGGAAGAGGGTGCTAGAAAAGAAGCCTGCAAACAAGGTTCACTCCTCACTGGCCGCCATTTGTCACACTGGTTTTTGCTGCCTCTGTTTACTGCCCCAAAGCCCCACCTCTTGAGCTCAGCTCATTTCAAGACCCTGCAGGCCTTTCAAGGCTTGGTTTAAGTACCACCTATTCTCAAAATCGCAGGGTTAAGACAATTAGGCCTTTCAATTCCCAACTCTAATAATCTGTGATTCTAAGCCTTCCCTAGCCACCTCACCCAGGCCACAGTGATTTTGCATCTGTTTACATTTTTATTTCTCTAAATTTAGTCTCTCCTTCTAAGCTTACTCCACTCCAACCCCCACTGTCACCGGCTCCCAAATTAGCATAAAGGCAGTCACTCCAGAGGTGACTAGCAAATATTTGGTAATGATGATAGTTATACACAGTAATAGACAGGATTCTCAGGCAAATACTTTCCATTGTAGTCATTAGCTACACAAATGCTGTGACTGGCACATAACAAGCCACGTTAAGGCCCAGATGCACAGGGGGTGAACAAGTCTTTCCTAGGGAAGCTAGTTCATTTTGGATGAAAGAACACTTCTCCAACCCTCCTCTGCCCCTAACTCCCTGATATCTTCCCCTTAGCCTGTAGTTTCAAAAACTCTTTCTCTATCCTTGTCCACTTCAAGCTACTGCCCTCTCTTTTTCTTTACCTCACCATCATGGGATGGGTGGGAGAAATCAACCAAAGAACTTGAATGCATATATGCATAACCTATGGACATAGACAATAAGGTGGTGAGGGTCTAGGGCAGGGGCCAGAGGCTGGCTAGAGAGGTCAATGGGGAAAAAGGGGGACATATGTAATACAACAATAAAGTTAAAAATGGTTTATTGCATTGAATTTAGAAATAAAATTTACATTTAATAAATAAATAAGTGGTTTTTTAATATTAAAGTATATATATGGTCACTAAAAAAAATGGAAAGTATAGAAAAGTAAAGCAAAATCACAATTCCTTCATACACACATATGTGATAGATCCTCCCTTCCCCCAACTGGTGGACAGAGTATGACATAACCTGCACCTGTGGCCCTGACATTCCTGAGTACCAACCAGGTACCTTATATGGACTACACATTGAATCACCAATCAGCACCTGCCAAATATC